TTCTTTCATTCCATCACCAAAATTATTTCTCTATTTCTCTATGAAGTTTCTGAAAACATTAATATACGGACGGTGGCTGCTGCAGTCTTTTAGGATTCTTTCAAAGCTTTTGATGGTATTACTAATCNGAAATAAAGATTGAAATTGATAACACTACTTTGGACTATATATCAGAAATAAAGTATTGTAGACAAAACTCCGAGTTCAAATAGTCATGCTGAATATGCTATGAAAAAACTTTCAAAACATATAATTGCATAATTGAACCCCATTTTGAGTACTGTTCAACTTTGATGCATTTAATAAACCAAAATAGGGTTTCCCAACTTCAAAACCTCCAAAATAGGGGCATGAGAATTATCTTGAGATGCAGTCGTTACACTTCCATTGATGATATGTTAAATATGCTGCAATGGCAATCGATTTCAAATCGATCATTTTTTTAACAATGGTTTCACATTTGAAATAACCAAAGAACTGGGTGGGGCTTGCCATTACGTCTTTCACACTAAGTAAAGTGGACCAATCGTTTGAAAGTTATCACAATAAGATGAACTTGACGCAACGCAGTAAGCCATTATGCGTCGCGTCTACTGAAAGACGGCGGTGGACGATGCACTTGGGTACAGAGGCGGTCTAAGTAATGAAGCATCATTGCCGAAAAGGCGACCCGAACGCGGGCAGACATCGTTGGCAGTTGTGTTAGTTTTGCGAATTTCTTTAATCTCGAAGCTAGTCAGTACTAGCTGTTGCCGCTCTTATATTAACGTAACTGAAACTGGAATTTTTAAATGTGCAGGTAGGTTCTATGTATAGCGTAAACGAGCATCAAAAAGTGAAATCAAAAATTTTCATCATACTGTCTGCGCATGCGTTTATACATTAATAGTAAAACAAATAGGCTTGAAATAGCAAGGCAAACTGAAAAGAAAGAAATAAAAAGAGAGAAATTATTAATAGTTCAAAAACTAAAACAACACGCTTCAATAGCGTTTTATTCGGAGTTATTCTAAATTAATTCAATATTGTATTCAACATCGATAATAAGTCCTATGACCCGATGTAACTAATAACTTTAAATGAGTTTGAAATCAGAATAAATCTATTAACAAAAAATTTATTTTGTTGTAAAAAATAGTCGGGTGCTAAATATCCATTGTTATAAACACTTAGTTAGGAGCTGTTCGCCAGATTAGAGCTATGATAAAAATATAATTTGAAGTGTCCCACGTTTTCTTGCGAATTGATTTATTCTGATTTCAGACTTATTTGTTCATTATTCACATCAAGCAATAGGACATAGTATCGAAGTTGAAGACAATCTTAAACTAGTTTTGAATTATTTTTTTAGGTTCGTTTGTGTTGTTATTGTTTTATTATTTTTCCAAACTATTATTTCTCGCATACGTATTTAAATATCTCTTTCCGATATAGTAGTAGTCTTTTCCAACAGGCATCTCCCAGAACCTACGTTCCCAGAGACGAATATTTCGAAATTTATAATTGATTCTAGAGCAGGTTGAAATCATATTTGAGATCTGGATAAATAGTTATTGGACCTTTGAATGTCAAAATTTCCAAACTATATAGAGATAAAGAACTAGTACAATAGAACTCCAATTATCCAGAGCGATTGGGACCAGCCCAACTTATTCTTGAATAGGAAAACATCTAAAAAACCTATAAACATTGAAAGTAGAAATATAGGATAGTGGAAATAGCAGTACCTATATACTTAATAAGTACAGAATTATAAAATTATCTACATAAACATTTCGATTAGAGTAAGGAAACACTTTCTGAATGAGCATTATTTGCAAGGTAATTTTGCCTCAAAAATTTAAATTAAAACATTTTTCCCTAGGAGCGATCCATATATTTGGCTATCCCAATAGTTGGAGTTCTACTATATTATATTTCAAAACCGAAATTCTACAAATAACCAAAATATATTAAAAACCAGTACTGAAATTTGTTTCACAAAACATGAGTAAACATTTACCAAAACAAGTGTCCACACATGCTAACAACAGCATCATGAGCAGTATCCAAACAAATATTACATTCAAACATAGACTCGTCTTTTTTCTTATCTTTTTTCTGTTCTTCTTTGGAATCATAATTATGTCCCCCATCTCCTGTCGAATTCTCTATGTTTTCTGGACTGGCCATGTTATCTATCAATATGGTTTATTTTGGAAAGAATTCAGAAGTATGATAAAACTGACGTATTTGTTTATAATTTTAATAGATATAATATTCGTCTTTCCTGAAACTAACAGGTCAATATGAATTGAGTTGAAGCACTTACAATTTTTATATCTTTATTGACGTACTAATCAGGTGATATTGTTTTGTGAAGTGTGATGTGTGATAATACAACTTTACATGATAAGCACACGGTGCGTTCCATTATTACATACCACATACAGCGGAGCCAGGACTTCAAAAAGTAAATTGTTAAATGTCAACGCAAAAAACGCTAGAAATTACCACAAGGGTAAGTACTTAAAAGGAAGGGGTTGCGAAATAGTACCGACTTCAGTGTAATTCCCTGACGTAACTGGAGGGAAATTAATTTGGTCATACTGAAGGTTTCAACAGTCCTGAACAATACTTAATTTAGAATATTCTGTTACTTGAATTATGATTAATTCATTCATTCAGATTTTTTCTTACAATTTTTGAATATATTTTATCTTGTTTGTTTTGCCTTGTTAGTGTTTGTTAATTATTCAATTTTAAAAAATAACGGGACAATGAAATACCTACACAGAGTGGAAAAGAATTCCAAGGGAATGCACCTCAAAAGAAATGTTGGCTTAATGAATGTGATTTAGGAATCAGTTGGTTTATTTTGTGAATAAACCAGCTGATGCGGGTATATCTTCCGATATTGATATCGATATCAACCTGCTGCTTGATATCGATATCTAACTTCGAATGGTTGGAAGTCAGTCTCTGCTACGTATACTCCTTCTTCATCTGTGCTGTTTATTTTACATGATTTTACTGTGTGTAGTGTTTGCACGATGACAACTTTCGCTTAAAGGGGAGCGCGCGCCCGTTTGTGTGTCTGTGTGTGTGTGTGTGTCGCGAATTAAGTGTTTTGTGTGTCTGTGTTTGAGTAATGGTATACAAAGATTATACTCATCGGATACGTTGGATGGCGTCTCTTGGTGGAGGTCTTTAGTTTTGTTACGTCAGTCTTTGTGCTTGTCAGCTTGTGTTAGTCTTGAGTCGTCGCAGTTCAATGCGTCGTGGTGATCACGCAGCACTGTGTAGGGTTTGTCCGAATTCGCTCGAAGATGTTCTGGGTCTGGTTTCTGAGGAGGGCATCCACGTACTGGGTGCTGAGATCTAGATCCCGGTAAATGTATGCGTTGAGCACGTATGCAGGAGCGTTAATGGGCATTCGCGGGCAGACGTTCATTAACTGTTAGATCAGGAGTCTGTATACTTCTGCACACTGGCTTCAAGCAGTGAAAGCATATATAATTATGGATAGTAGGATTGTCTTGATTAGGAGCCGCCCCATTCTCTGTGTGATATGGGACCTGAAAGTCAGTTTCCTTTCGAGGGTGATACTCAGATATATTGCACCGTTTATCCAAGAAATCTTCTCTCCGGTGAAGACGACGTATTCTTCGTTCCGGTTGCGACTTCCACCATATGAGTAGTATCGCCTGAATCTTGTCGGGGCTGATACTAATCTCCCAGAGATTGATCCACCCCTTCAATCTGTCCGCTTGCTGTTGCAGCTATGCCGTGACAAGCTGGTGACTGGTGGATCTAGCCAGCAGTGCTGTATCGTCCTCAAGATAAATTTGTAATTACTAGAACATATCAAATGAAACATATCATGGGATGAATTAGTGCTTAAATCATGATTCTGTTTTTTGGTTTTGTTTGCATTTGAGATACTTGGTGTGCCGGCCGGAATTTTCAAGGGTCGTATTCCTCTATGGAATCGCTTTTTCAATTTCATAGTAATCAATAATCTAAGCAATGTCTCGTCTTGTTGAACCAGAATTCCTTTTGAAAATTATCCCAAACTTTTTTTGGCGGACTTGTGGTGTTTTGCACATTTACGTAATTTACTGGATATAATAACAAGGTGATCTTTGACTTGGTTTTGATATCCAACTTTTTCTTCTCGTCGGCGCTTTGATATGTTATGGAAATACAGTGCCACAGGTTTTTTTCTCCAGGTAGAACTTGACTTCAAATCTCCAGGTATTATAATTTTAACGACCCCTCAATCATTCTATGGAAAATGAAGAACTTCTTGCAGACATTTTTTTCACTGGTGAAAAATGTCCAGGAAAAAAATTCGATACAACTGATATCACAACTCAAATTCTACAATAACTGGGCTCGTAAACTGATGTAAACTACAGGGTTGCACAAACAATTGTAGATTCGGACACTCGTAAATCAATTATATTGTACATGACATCATGAATATTGAAACCACCGAAAAAAACAAATCTCTGTTCTCTCTACAGTTAATTATATTTCTACTACATTTCGAACAAGAATTCATCAAGCAAAGGAATATGATTGTGTATATCAGATTCATCTCGATTGAAAGCCGGTGAATTACAAAAGGTTATACTTGGATATCAAACTGACAAGTGTTATATGATATCGTCACATCCTAGTTTGACATCACATTAACGTCCTATCAACACCAAGACAGACAATCAATTTAATATTTAGACAATGTTAATATTTAAATTTAGACATTGATCCAGCCTTAAGAATCTAGATACCGATTTACAGTTTATGCTTCTTTTCCTCAATATGTTACTAGAAAAATAAAGTTAAAACATTTTTGAAAATATAACTGAATAATTCACCAACAATTTGCCATATTGCATTATACTACACCTATTTACTTACATTATGGGTTATCTGCCGTATGGCGTCATCGACATATTATGTCGATGTATGATGTAAAGTAATTTGAATTTCTAACCTATACCTATTTGTATTCCATCAAAATTTAGACATTTCTTGCGAAGCAAAGTTCATGTTGCTTCGTTGCTTGTCATGTCAAAGGTACATAACCTTTTTCAGTTTTGTAAATAATGTTATAAAATGTGATGAGGTGTTCGAAAAAACGTTCCTATAATAATGTACAAGTATATATTTGTCAATTTAAGACTAATTTAAGGTACTTAAAGGCTATTCAACATGGCTGTGAGAAGTTGGATGATCAGACATCAAATTCAAAACATAAGATCCGGCAGATATAATAGGTCAAGTAAGTTCATTCTCAGAAAATGAAGAATTAATAATTTCTAATAATAATGTTCTTTTCAGTAAAGCAAAATAAACAGGAAGATGTGCTGGTGTTATTACAGGATCTTAGTAAGTGTTCTACTTATTAGCCATTTCCTTATTGCTCAAATTATGGTAATTGTTTCAAGGGAAAACCTTCTAGCCTAGGGATTGAAAACTGTTCAAAAGTTCTAAAAATCTGAAATGGAAAGTCGTAATGAAAACTGAAATATTTTCATTTCTGATAACAGGTTTGCAAAAAACACTTGAAAATAATGATGAAAAATTGTGGAACATTCTATTTTCAGTTTTCATTTTTTCCAAAAATCACTTGAATGAATGTTTTTATGTTTTGTTTTCTGGTAATTCAATACAGAACAGTAGAACTTGAAAGGTTCGTTTCAAACTCGACTGAAGGATTCAATTATTGTGTCATTTGTTTCATGGTAGTCTTTTTGTTGCTAGGTTTTGTTCTAGATTGGGTATAATTTGACGGTTTTCGAGACACTAGTAGTGTCCCACATTTAAAAACAGATGTTATCAAGTGTATATGTTATGATAATAAAGGGAGAATTCGTGGACAGAATACTCCAAAAAGAAAGGCAAACAGCACACGTTTCTGGCTATTGGACTAATTAAAGCGGTTTGTCCGCTTTTTCGAGTGTTGTGTCTATGAATTCACCCCTTTTTATTTTTATTATACACACTTGATAACATCTATTTCTGTATTTATGTTATTTGCAGGGGTAGTATTCGATGTCAAATCCAGATAAATAAAAAACCTGTGACAGGTACATAAATATTGTTTTTGTTTAATTGGGAAATAGATAGCCACTTTACTTCATACTCAGAATGCATTCGGAATCCAGAACACCTTTATTTCAAATTCGATGATTATTCCCAGATGATTATTGTAGGTTTTTGATTGTTTCTATGGTTTCCGCAGCAAACATTTCTTAACCGATATAGTGAATTTTCATTCATGTGGGCAAAATATATGTGGTCAAAAGGCTCACTGTTCTAAGATTTATGAAGAAACCGTTTGTTGGTTTTCATTTCATTTATTATTTGGTGCTATACTGGTTTCAATCAATTGCTTATTGAATGAATTTGTTTGGATCATTAGTTTTCTTGTATTTTGCAGAGTTGTTATTTTTTCAGGTCCATATGAAAGTTTTACAAACCTCTTGGAAAAAATATGTGAAAAAGGTGTGGAAGAGACGATATTATTCAACTATTTGAATGCCTTTGTCAAATTAACCCTCAAACATGAAGACAATTTAGATAAAATTGGTTATCGAATAGAAGACTTGTTATGCTGGTAAGATTTTGTGAAAGTAAATAACATTCAAATGAATATTTTTCAGTATTTACTATACTTCAGTCTCATGACAAACTTTATTTTTCTTTAAAACATGATATATATATATATAT